GCATACTGTTTCGGTGAGCTTGCAGTCAAAGGCGGCTATAACCAACCATAGTTGATTCTGGCCTGGATATAAGCCTAATTGATCAAGGTCATGCCTCTCCCATTTGGGACCTTTGGAAGGTCTGGGAATTCCATCTGCAGGTACTAACATATTTTTTAAAACTCTTTTTCTCATTTGATTTGATATATGAAGTGTTCAAATTGGTGTTTTGTAGAGAAATCCCTCAAGGAAATTACTCAGTTACCAACTTTGAAGTTCCATATTTTCATTGGCATTTCTTGCAGATATTATAAAAATTTTCACTGTGATTCATTTACTTAATTTTTTGTTTGGGCTCTGGCATGGTAGACTAGTGGCTAATGTCTTTGCTTTGCTTATGCTAGAATCCCATATGGGCACTGGTTCTAATCCCAGTGACCCTACTTCCCATCCAGCTTCCTACCTGTGGCCTGGGAAAGCAGTCAAGGATGGCCCAAAGCCTTGGGACCCTGCACGTGGGAAACCTGAAGGAGACTTGTGGCTTCAGATCAGTGCAGCTCCGATTCACAGCTTTTGGGGGAGTGAATCAATGGATAGAAAAATCCTCTGTCTCTCCTCTCTGTATATCTGACTTTCCAATACAAATAAAATAAATCTTTCAAACTTGTTTTAAATTTAGGATTTATTTACTTCTTGAAAGGCAGAGTTATGGGGTGTTGTGGTGTAGAACTGGAGAGATATACTTCATCTATTTGTTCACTCTAAATGTTTGCAGGAGCCAGGACTGGGCCAAGATGAACCTAGGACCTGAACTCCAGTCAGGCCTCCCACGTATGTGTTCAGAGTTCAAATAACTGGGTCTTCCACTGCTAACCAAAGAACAGTAGCAAGGATCAGAAATAGAAGAGCTTGGGTTCAAATGAGTGCCTTTGTAGGCTGCCTACGTCACAGGTGGCTGCTTGACTTGCTATGCCACAGTGCCAGCCCCAATGTTGTTTTGTATTTTACTTTTTTGAACTCATGAGTTGCTATTTAGAACTGTATCACTTGATATTCAAGCAACAGGAAAGTTTCTAGATTTAAAAAGTATTTCTGAATTTTATTATCGTCAGAGAATATTTTAGGAAAGATTTCAGTCCTGTGAAGTTTGTGGAGATTTGCTTTATCACCCAGCATATGGTTCATTTTGTTATATGTTTTGTGTATTCTATTTTTATGTGGAAGAAATTGTCTAGTGGCTAAATGTGAGTTTCAAATCTTTATATCTTAGTAGGTTTTTTTTTTTTTTTTTGCCTGCTGATCTTGTAGTGATTAACAAAGATGTGTTAGTGTTCCTGGTGATTGTAGCTTGTCTGTTCCCTAATGGTCTTGTATACTACTACTTTACGCTCTTTCAGCTTTGGTATTAGACTCACCCAGACTAATATCTTCTTGTTGGTATGGCTTTTAAAATGTATTTATTTGTTCCAAAGGTGATGGGGAGGGCAAGGAGCAGTCCTTGCCATTCTGCTGGTTCACTTTTCCAGTATCCACAGCATGTGCGGATGGGCGGTGCTGAAGCCAGGAACCTGGACCTCCATCTGGGTCTCCCACAGGAGTGTCAGGGACCCAGCTGTGTCAGCTATCACCTCCCACCTTGCAGAGTGTGCAGTTACATGAGGTTCAAATCAGAAGCAGAGCCAGGATTTCATCTCAGGCGTTCTAATGTGGCCTTTGAATACCAAATGTTGCTTTAACCTTAGGCCAAGTGGATCCCTCAGCATGAGTTTCTATTTAAGAAATGACTTTATTAATTTTTAATAATACTTCCAGTGTGTGTGTAGACTAGTTTTGGCATAGCTATGCTATCTTCCTTCTCATTTTTACTTATTCACATGTTTGAGAAGCAGAGAGAGACGAAGTTTGCCATCTACTGCCTTACTCCCCTAATGCCTGCAAAAGCTGGGAACTCAATTTAAGTCCTCCATATGGGTTGCCCAGACCCAAATATCTAAGCTTTCAACCACTGCTTTCCATTGTCTAAATTAGTGGGAAGCTGGAATTAAGAGCAGAGTTGAAAAGCAAACCCACTGTTCTTACATGGAATGGGGGCACCCCAACTGGCTGCTAACAGCTAGGCAAAAACCTGCCCTGCCAGCTTTGTCTTAGCAGGTGTTTGCATGTACTGCCTTTCTCCATTAGTCTACATTTGGTTTTTCTTTGTCTGTATATAGCCTTATACTATATTTAACATAATGAATTTAATTTCTATCATCTTAGTGTGTGATATAGCTTATCTAAATGTGCTCTGCTTGTACTGCCTTTGTGATTTAGTTTAATATTTTAAATCATTCTTTTTATTTTCTCATGTAACTTTTAATGGATATTCTAGAAATTTATACATGAATACGATTTTAAGATAGTGAAATTTAATATAAAAATGTTTATCTGCTATTCCAGGACAATGGCTATGTTAAAAACTTTATTTTATACCTGTCTTTACACTCTTAAAGTTATTTTTACTACAGTTATTTATTTATACATATCATCACATTTACTTTTTGTGTGGCTTTTCATTCTATTCTACATTCTTGCCTAGTGTCATTTTTTTTCTCTGAGGAGGGATTTCTTTTCTAATGAATTCTTTGTTACAATTATTTTCAAAGATATTTTTATTTCAAAGATATTTTTATTTAATAATAGATTTTTGGGTCATCTTTTTATTCTCAAAATTAATTACCTTTAGATTTGTTCATTTTAATTTTTAAAATATTTGTTTTATTTTTATTTGAAAGGCAGTTACTTACCCAGAAAGAAATATTCTGTCTGCTTCTTTACTCCTCAAACAGCTGCAGTGGCCAGAGCTGAGCCAGTTTGAGGCCAGGAGTGAGGAGCTTTCTCCAGATCTCCCATGTGGATGCAGGATCCCCCAAAACTTGAGCCCTTCTCTGCTGCTTTTGCAGGCCATGAACAGAGAGCTGGATTGGAAGTGGAGCAGCCAGGACTTGAACTGATGCCCATATGGAATGCCAATTGCACAAGTGGAAGCTTAGTCTACAGTGCTGGCCCTGAATAATGGATTAGAAAAAAAGGATTTATTTTATTTACTTGAAAGTTAGAGGTACAGAGAGAAGGAGAGACAGCAAGAGAGGCAGAGAGAGATATCTCCCACCTACTGTTTCTCTCCCCAAATATCCACAACAGCTGAAGCCGGCCAAGATCAAAACCAGGAGCCAGGAACTTCTTCACAGGACCAACAATTTCGGGCTGTTTTTCTCTGCTTCCCAGGCACATTAGCAAGCAGCTAGATCAAAAGTGAAGGAGCCAATGCTTGAATAGGCATCCATATGGGATGTTGGGATATCAGTTGTGGCTTAACCAGTTAAGCCACATTGCTGGGCAAAATAATTTCTTTGATAGTCACGTATCAGTTTTTAAGAAGTCACTCCGTTGTCTATTGATGCTTGTTCCTTTAAATGTGTTCACTTTTTGTATAGGTATTTTTTTCATAAAATATACATATATGAATTTGAATTAACATTAAACAGACTAAATACAGTTATACGAATACAGTGACTTTCCCTCTCTTGCCTTGTTGCCCCCATCCTTCCTCCTTCTCACTACCTGTCTTTTTATTTTAACTTTTGAATTTCTTGGTTTTTAATGTTTACCAGTTTGGCAGTGTTTTTCTTTGTACTTGTATTCTGCCTGTGTTTTACAGGTTTCTTAAAAATGTGGCTTCACATCTTTATTAATGATAGAAAATTATAATTTCTGTCACTTCAAGTGTATTCTTCCCAATTTTCTTACTGCTTCTGAAATTATTAAATTATTATTAGTGGGTTCCAATATCTTTCGGTCTTCTCATTTCGTGCTTTGATTTAGATTTTGTTTCTGGGCCTGCATTCCATTTCATGTTTGCTCTATGTAATCCATTGGGCACAGCAAGTACTGACAACACATTTGATGAACTTTGTTTATGAACAAGGGCAACAATGTAGGAATAGAAATTGGATCATAGGGGACTATAAAGAAGGGCTTTGTTATTGGTCAGGACATTCTAAGATGTGTTAGACTGTTTCAGCAGAGAGAAAAAATTTAAACTGTAGAGAGGAAAATAATTATTTTAAAATAAATCTCTTTTAAATGTGCCTAAATAAATTGGTGTTGTGGTACAGTGGGTTAAAACATTGCCTGTGACTCTGGCAGCCAGTAGGGCTCCTGTTTGAGCTCTCTTTCTGACCTAGCTCCCCATAAACGCTCCTGGGCAGTAAATAGTGGCTCAGGTGTTTGTTTAGGCTCCTGTACCCACACTGGAGAGCCTGATTGAGTTTTAGGCACCTGGCTTCAGTCTGCCCCAGCGCTAGCCATTTGTGGAGTGTGTCTTTCCTTTTACCTTTTTAAATTCTTTTAAATAAACAATATTTTGAAAAACATGTCTTTGAAAAAGTGATTAAGAATGTAATTCAAAGCATAGTTGCAAGGGGTCTCCTTTTATGAGATCAGGACAGAGGGAGTGCGTGATGCATGCCCATCAGTAGCCTTGTGAGATGAAATTGTGACTTGCCAAGAACAGTCCGGACACAGGTTTCACATTCCAGAATCTCTCACTCTCATCCACACCTCTGTGTGTATGTGTGTGAAACAGACACACGCACACACACACACACACAAACAGAACATGAAGATACCTCTGTGTGTATGTATGTGAAACTCACACACACACACAACATGAAGAACTATGTGGAGAAAATGTGGATGAAGAATGGAAGTGGATGGTAAACTGCATTTATAGCTACTTAATTCTGGTTTATGTTTTGCAATATCCTGAGTGATAATTGCTTTTATTTCCCTAAGTACTGACACTATTACAATACAATATTAAGGAACAAGTTGAACGCTTATTTCTTTTTTTGGTAATACAGTTAAGTTTTTGTTAAGTTACAGTTTGTTTGTTACAGTTAAGATCTATTTAAGTACCTAATTATTTATACATTGAATATCAAATTTTATCTAACATATTTTTAATTTTTGTCTTACAGTTTTGTGCTGATCTAGCACAAACATGTTTCGGAATAGTCTCAAGATGCTTCTTACTGGTGGGAAATCAAGTCGTAAAAACAGGTCAAGTGGTAAGTGATATCTGAACTTATTCAGAAATCTAATACAATGTTGTAATACTCTTGATATTATTAAATGATTTTTTTTAAGAAAGGCTAATGAAAGCTATCATATATTTTAAGGAACAAGGAATACTTGGATACTTGCAAGGAACAGTCATGAGAAGGAAGACTTTGTCAAAGAAAAATAATTATTCTGAAAAATAAGAGAGCAATGTTTCTGAACATCTCTTTTAAAAAAAAACTTCTTTAAGAACATTTTCTTTAAAAATTAATATGTGAAAGTGTTGCAGTTCTCTGTCCTCTTTGCTCAGGGAATCTAGCAAAATAGGAACTATCCCCAAAGGTCTGTTTGTAGAAAGTAAAACTCATTCTGTAACTTCAGTATTTTTACAGCCATTACAGTAAAGCTTATGGATTTTGGAAGTTTTGTTTCATTTTTAAGAACAAAGATTTAAGTCTCAGGCTTTGTTAAAATGTAATTATTCTACATTTGCAAGCTGATTTGCCCCTAATCAAAGCATTCAACAAGTAAAAAGTAAGAAAACTGCAGAGCATAAACATGGCAATCATATCCCAAGTTGACCATTTCATTCCTCTACCTTCTTGTGTGTAATCTATGTTAGCTACTGTATATCATCAGAGGAAACGTGATGCTTGACTTTTTGAGACTGGCTTATTTTACTGCACATAATCATTTCTGGTTGCATCCATTTTGTTGCTAAAGATAGAGTTACATTCATTTTATGGCTGAGTAATATCCCAGAATGTATGTGTACCACAGTTTCTTTATCCAGTCATTAGTTGGTGGGTGTCTGGGTTGATTCCATATCTTTACTGCTGTGGATTGAGCTGCGATAGAGATGGGCTACAAATAAGTTGCATAATTAGCTTCATTTCGCTTGGGTAAATTGCCAAGAGTGGGATGACTGGGTCATATGGTAGGTCTGTCTTCAGATCTCTGAGGAATCTCCATACTGTCCCCCATCATGGTTGCTCTAGTTCACATTCCCGTCAACAGCAGATTAGGGTACCCCTTTTCCCACATTCTCACCAGCATTTATTGTTTCTTTATTTTTGAATGATAGTCATTCTAATTGGCGTAAGGTGATACTTCATTGTGGTTTGTATTTGCAATTCTGTGATGGCTAGTGATCCTGAGCATTTTTTCATGTGCCTGTTGGCCACTTGTCATCAGCCAAAAATATGTTCACAATTACTTTGTTTCATAAAGGAAAAGACTTTTACACATATACACTCATTTAATCTGTATAGCAGATGAGAGGAAAAGTCCTTTTCAGGATTATTTCAGCTAGTAAGAATAGAAGCTGTTGAATTCACACTGTATGCATATGATTATCACTGAATAAATGAGACAGTGAATAGAATTAAATCTAAACTCAGATCTGAAAACTGAATGTCTTTTCTTTGAAGTAGCAACTCAGATTTACAGTAAGTAGCCAAGATTGGTGACTTCTCATGGTAGAGTTTAGAGAAACTTTATTTTTTAAAAATTGTGTGCATTTTTTTCCTCTGTTCTAACTTTTTTCGTAGAGTAATGTGAAATATAGGTTCTAGTTGTCTGTTTATAAGTCAGTTTGTCTTTTTCTGGTATGTTTTATTTGAAAAATCGTCCTATCATTATTAAAATGCAAACTAATATTAGCATTTCCTATGTATTTATGATTACTAAATATATGCGAATGTGTAATAGGTATTTTTAAAAATTTTTTCCATTAGCAGGAAACTTAAATCCAAAGTGGCCTGGAACTTGAACCCAGGCAACTAATTAGGGATGCAGGCATTAAAAGTGGTGTTTTAACTGCTGCACCAAACACCTGCCCATGTTAATTTAATTTGTGCTCCCGTAATCATGTGATAAAAGATTGCTCTGTCCTTTTTTTTTTTTTTTAAAAGAGTTATTTATTTTACTTGAAAGCCAGAGTTTTAGAGAGAAAGAAGGAGAGACAGAGATCTTCCATCTTCTGGTTCATTTCCTAAATTGCCGCTGGAGCTGGCCTGTCCAGGGAGTCTGGAGTTTATTCTGTGTCTCCCACAAGAGTACAAGGTCCCAAGGGCATGGGGCATCCTCTTCTGCTTTCCCAGGCCACTAGCCGGGTGCTGGGTTGGAAGTGGAGCAGTCAGGGCTAGGACTGGTTCCCATATGTGATACCAGCACCACAGGGTATAGGATTAGCTTATTCCAACTCTAGCATGAGGCTTCCTTTTAGCACTGCAGTACAGTATGTAAGCCTGAAGATTTTTCTTCCTGATTGTCTACTTTCTTAGTTTGCTGCTTTCAAAATGTGCTGTTTCCGTCTGTATTGATGAGAAAGAAAATGAAAAAAGTTATGTAGGGCTTATGCCATCAGTTCAAGCCCTTTTGTAACTAATTATCTCCAAGTAAAAAAATAAATCTTCATTTTTTTTTCATTTAGTTTATTCTTGTCCTCAACTTGTGCAAGATGCTTGAGATTTAAAATAGTGATATATTAGTACTATTTGAAATTCCCCTAATGAAACCACTTTCATAAATTATTAACTCAATCTTATGTATTTTAAACAATAAAACTATTTAAAAGGATTAAACCATGTGAACTGGTTTAATTGCTTCAGATCAGTTACTTTAAAATTTGATTTATCTGAATATGTCACTTTTAATCTTAAATTTATAAATGTGAGAATGTGTGATAAAGAAAATCATATTTGAGACATAGATTCTCATTTCCAATAAAAAAGGATTTAAACAATGAGCTAAATATATGGTTTTGTTCTTAATGTTATGTTCTTCACACAGCATGTTTTGATACATAGTAATGCCTACACCAAGTCAAAATAATAAATTATTTTAGTGCTGTCAGGCTATTCAGTAGAATATATCTAATATTTTTTCTTGCAGAAGTTTAAATATTTCCAATAAAACACTTTTTCACAGATGTCACAGATGTATTTTGCAGATTTGTGGTATTCTGCACTATTTCCTCGCCTCCTCATTTATAATTTAATTATGCTTACTGTTCTGTTTTCTCTGATTATGAGAATTTAGTGAAGAGTCATACAAATATTAGTGAAAAGTTAAAGAAATGGGTGAGATGCTAAAAGGAGAGCAAACCATTTTTTAAAAACTAGTTTTGCTCAGCAACCACAGGACTCTTGTCCTCAGGGATCTTCAGAATACGCTGCTGTAAATAGAAGTTTTATGCTATACTTTGAAGAAACTCAGTGCCAAAAACTTGACCTTAAACTAAACAGAAAGCCTTTCATACTCACGCTATACCCCATTTTCATAGATTTCTTCTGTTCTGGTTTTATTTGACTCTCTAGAGAAAATAGGCTAACATATATTTATGTCCAGATTTAGAGTGCTGTGACCCAGAGTCATGCTTTTCTTTCATTTGTCACCGAGTGTCTTACCACCCGAATCCCAGTTCTTTAGTTCCTAAAGGATTCTAATTTTTACTGAGATAGAGGGTAACTGCCCATGTTTCTTTATTTTTAATTTTTTTCATTCCCCAGGCCCTTGCCCATGTTTCTAAGCCAGGAATGAACAAGCTGGGTTTATTTTTCCCTTTGAACTTAATTTTAAATATTTTACACATAGTAAATTGAAAGAGCAAGTAACATTGAAAATACCATATTTAACTATCAGAATGAGACTGAATGTTTGACAATGTTTGACATCCTAATGCTAACCCTAACCCTAAGATGTAACACTTCACTGCTTTCCTCTTAGGGCCTTCAATGGGGCCTCAGCATTAAATGGATTTGTGATAGATTAATAATAGAAAATATTTTTACATGTATGTGGAAGCCCCCATTGGAAAATGAAAACCCAGAGCTGAGCTCTTACTATGCTAAGCTGGAGAAAGACTAGTAAGTTGTGGTGGAAAGATAAAGGGGTTTGAGCCAGGCGGGTAGACCCTAGTGAAGAGACTATGAAAATGAAAGGTTAGCTTAAGAAGGGTGGTTTGTCCTGTTCTCTGTGGCTTCAGCTCCTTCTCTCTCCTACTACACAGAGAGTACCTCTCATATGAGAAGTTCAATTCCTTCTTTCAGGAAGAAGGAAGGTCAGAGTGCCCTCTTGCATCTGTTGTTTTTCATGAGCCTTTAACTCAAGATAACCTGCCACCCCTCATGTGATAACACCATGATTCACAGTTTGCTAAAGAAATGTCTTTTGTAAAATAGTTAAAGTAGCCAATAGAATATACCAATGAAGGAGTGTAAAAACATAGGTAATAATGTTATAACTCTAATTCTGCTTCTACACTTGGTCTTAGCCAGAAGGCCGAGAAGCAACCTAATTTTGTTTCTGTAAAAAATAATTTTGTTGTCTACACAAGTTTGTGGTGTTGACATATCCTCTGCCTATGTGTATAAAGATTAAGTCTCTTCATGCAGTTGATTCAGATGCAGCATGTATTTGTTAAATGCTTGTTGTACACTATGTAAAGTAACTTAATCAAAATTATACACACATTACACAGTCTTTATTAGCCCGAAATATATGTAAAATTTGAAAACTTAAGGATGATTTCTTAGTGACTATTTTATTTTGGGGATCCTATAGTTTTATTAGGGAGAACTTGGTAAGCAGTATTTATAGTTCTTATAACACTGCTTAGACAGTAGTGTTTGAACAGATTTCTGTCTTAGCCATTTGTATTTTTGGTCCATAGTATTGTGTTTCACAATAAATATTTTTCAGATAGCATGAATTTTCTGAAAAAAAGTCACAGTATTCCAATCTAAAGTTTTATCATTTTTTTTATAACTTAGTACCCCTCTAGTGCTGTTCAGTGGAACATTTTGCATCTGTTGATGCATTTTATAAATCCACGTAATTCAGTACTATAATGAAAGAAGAACGCAGGGCTGCCTCCAAATCTCTTTTGTTAATTTGCCCCAGCATTATGTTTTGGTGCTAACTGTATATCAGGAATTGTGATACGCGGAGGATAGTTGCCACTCGTATGATCTAATAAGGAGAGAGATTTCTAAGTTTGCAACAT